ACCAGCCACTCCTCGAAAGGAAGATGGGGCAATCTACTTCCGTAGTGATACTGCCTCCCTTGCTAGTCCTTAGTTATTGAGCCTCAGAGAGATGCACCATGTTTGTCCTGTGATTCATGGCCGTGTTTTCCTGGGGTGCACATGGAACTACTCAAAGCACATGGCTGCTTGTCTTAGGGGAGGTCTCTTGGCCATCTCGGTGGCTCTTTGCTACTAGCCCTGTTTCCCAGGGCCTCAGCCCCCTTCCCTCCGAGTTTTCCCTCCTTTTAGCAGCCATTGTGTGCCTAACCCCAAGCCCCTCACTCTCCTGCTCCTCAGGTTACTCAGTGACTTGGCTGCTGTCCCAGGGACAAACATCGCTGCTGGCGGCTGGAGCCCCCCGGTACCAGCACATGGGGCAGGTACTGCTCTTCCAAGAGCCAAAGGGCAGAGGACACTGGAGCCAAGTCCAGAAAATAGACGGGAACCAGGTGAGCATAGCCAAGGGGTGTGTGCAGAGCAGGGGCTGTGTGTGACATTCGTTATAGTCCGTGCTATTATTTGAACACTCATCCATTTACTATATGGCTCAAGCCCCATACAAACATCATCACATTTGCTCCCCCCAAAGACCTCTCAAGTAAGCTTTGTCATCTTCATTTAGTTTCCATTAAGAAACTAAACCTCAAAAAACTCAACTTGTCCTATTCATGTAGGCTCTAAGGGAGGACTCACAATTTGAGTCTGTATTTGAGGAACTGGAAGAAGATGCAGTTGGTGTGGCTGACAGGAAAAGAGGTATCCAACCATCTCCTGAGATCCCTGGCTCTTCCTCAAACATCTTCCTCTTCCTACAGATTGGCTCTTATTTTGGTGGGGAGCTGTGTGGCGTTGACGTAGACCAAGATGGAGAGACAGAGCTGCTGCTGGTTGGAGCCCCTATGTTCTATGGGGACCAGAGAGGAGGCCGAGTGTTCGTCTACCATAAAAAACAGGTGGGGACCAGGAGGACAGTGAGCCAAGGAGGTGGGGAGAAGCAGAGGTTCTTAGACTTATTCAGGTCCCAATTATTCTGAAAAACTTTCTGTGTCTGATCATGTGTTAATCAAACTTTCAAAACAACAGATAAGCAGTAGCTCATACTTATTGGGGGCGGACTGTGTGCAAGATCCAGTGTCCAACATTTGATACCTATCTGACCTCATTTGATCCTCACAATCACCTTCTGAGATACTATAAGCTGGATCTGACCAATAGGAACACTGAGGCTCAGCAAGATTAGGTAAATTTCCAAAGCCACAAGGTCACCCAGATGGAAGTGGAGCTGGATGACACCATCTTACGTTTCTTTAGTGTTCTTCACAGTCACACATGCCACATTCTATAGAAGTTTGCTGAGTGATTGAGTGCATTGATCTGTCTCCTTGGCTCCTTCCCAGCTGGAGTTCAAAGTGGTCTCAGAACTGCAGGGTGATCCTGGCTACCCCCTTGGACGGTTTGGAGCAGCCATCACTGCCCTGACAGACCTCAATGGGGACAGACTGATGGACGTTGCTGTGGGAGCCCCACTGGAGGAGCAGGGGACTCTGTACATCTTCAATGGGCGACATGGTGGGCTCAGCCCCCAGCCAAGCCAGGTGAAGCCTCCCTACCTACCAGCCATAAACCTATTCCCAGACCCACTCTCCAGCCTGACTCTTCCCTTCCTCTAACCTGTCCTCTCCCCAGCTTGGCATGAATTTCTGTTTTGCTCTCAGCGGATAAAGGGGAGCCAGGTGTTGTCGGGAATTCGGTGGTTTGGACGCTCCATCCACGGGGTGAAGGACCTTGGAGGTGATGGCCTGGCGGATGTGGCTGTGGGAGCACAGGGTCAGGTGATCATACTGAGGTGAGATGGAACTTCTGAGTCCCACCTAAGAGTAACTTCAGCTCTCCTATGAATGTTCACTTTGTTGTAGGCACTGTGCTAAATGCTTCATAGACATTAGCTCATTTGGTCTTCACCCCAACCCGTGAGCGAGGTTCTCTATTTATGGAGGCTACATGTCTCACTCCAGGTTACATAGTCACTTGTCAGTGGCAGAACAGGGATTTGAACACAGGCCTAAGTGACACTAAAACCTCCTAGAGAAGCAACATTGTGTAATAAAGACACAACATTAGAACCTGGTGATCTGGGTTCACGTTGAAGCTCTGCCAGGTACAACTTGAATGACCTTACCCCAGTTACTTAACTTCTCAGACTTGAGTTTCCTCATCTTTGAGATAATGATGGCATCCTCCGCCTTACCCATATCTTAAGAGTTGTTGGGAGAACATGTGACATCATATAAACCTAACCAAACTCACTGCCGTTGAGTCAGATCCAATTCGTAGCGACCCCTCCTTGGGTTTCTGAGCCAGTATCTCTATGGAGGGAGCTCTGGTAGCATAGGGCTTCCGTAGTGGTACTGCCTCAGAAACCCAAAGAGGGGTCGCTGTGAGTCAAATCTGACTCAACGGTAGTAGGTTATCTCTATGGAAGTAGATTGCCCAATCTTCCTTCCAAGGAGTAGCTGGTGGGTTTGAACTGCCAACCTTCTGGTTAGCAGTCTCATGCCTTAGGCACTACACCACCAGGGCTCCCATGACATCATATTGTTGTTGTTGTTGTTATATGCCATCAAGTTGGATCTGACTCATAGCGACCTCTCCTTGGGTTTCCGAGGCAGTATCTCTACGGAAGTAGATTACCCAACCTTCCTTCCGAGAAGTGGGTGGTGGGTTTGAACCGTCAGCCTTCTGGTTAGCAGTCAGGTGCCTTAGGCACTACACCACCAGAGCTCCCATGACATCATATAGTGAATACATATTTACTGGCCACCTACTATGTCATAGGAGTCCCTGGGTGGTACAGTTAATGCACTCAGCTGCTAGCCAAAGAGTTGGAGGCTTAAGTCCACCCAAAGGTACCTTGGAAGAAAGGCCTGGTGATCTCCTTCTGAAAAATCAGCCATTGAAAACCCTACGAGCACAGTTCTATTCTGACACACAGGGTGTTGCCGTGAGTCCAAACCGACTTGATGGCTGCTGCTTTGGTACAATGTCTTAAACACTGAACCTGAACCAGGCGTTGGGCACATGGTGTGTGGGTGGCACAATATATAATAATTTTTTAAAATTAAACAAATAAACAGGTAATTCCAAATTGTGATAAGTGCTATGGAAGAAATGAACAGGGTACTGTGAGAGAGACTCACAAGGGGCCCCCACTATAGATCAGGGGGCCATAAGGGCCTCTCTGAAGATTTAAGTTGGAACTTGAAAGAGGAGATGGCTGCAGAGCTCTGGGGTGAGAGCTTTCTGGGTAGAAAACCTAGGGTCTGCCACGACTGTAAGGCAGGCAGATGTTTGATGTGTTCAAAGAACTGAGGGCCAGTGTGGCTAGAACATGGCAAGCCCAGGGAGATGAAACTGGAGAGTCAGGCAATGTGGTGTGTATGGTGAAAATATGGGTTTTATTTTAGACATCATGTGTCATCACTGAAGGGCTGTGAGCAGAGAAGCTTGAGATGGTTTCTCATTTTGAAAACTCAGAGGAAGTGGCTCAGAAAGTGCTAGGATGAAGTGGGGAGCCCTGATCGGTAATTGCTATAATTACTGAGAGGAAACAGTGACCCTGAAGTCTGCTTTAGGAAGGAGAAAAGGAGCTCTGGTGATGTAGAGGTTAAAGCATTTGGCTGCTAACCAAAAGATCAGTGGTTCAAAGCCCCCCGCCACTCCGCAGAAGAAAGATGAGGCAGTCTACTTCCATAGAGATTTACAGCTTTGGAAACCCAACGGGAGTCACTATGAGTTGGAATCAGTGAATTTGTAAGGAGAGTCCTCTGGGCTGTGTATGGTGGCAGGGGGAGCCCTCGCATCTGATTGAGGAGGTGCATGGAAGCCACGCTTGCTTTCTGCTCTACAGATCACGGCCAGTGGTGGATGTCATCACCACTATGGCCTTCTCCCCAGCTGAGATCCCAGTGCACGAAGTGGAGTGCTCCTACTCAGCCAGTAACAGGAAGAAGGAAGGGGTGAACATCACTGTCTGTTTCCAGGTGAAGCCTCTCCTCCCCGAGTACCGAGGTCAGTGCTGTTCTTCTTCCTAGAGCCCCGCCCATCCCACATCCGGTTAGTGGCCCAGGACCCTCCACTGTTCAACTCCGCCCTTTCCACCCTGCCAGGGCGCCTGGTTGCCAATCTCACCTACACCCTGCAGCTAGATGGCCACAGGACCCGAAGCCGGGGGCTGTTCCCGAGTGGGAGACAGGAGCTCAGTGGGAACACGGCTGTCACCCCAGACAGATCCTGCTTTGAATTCTGGTTTCACTTCCCGGTAAGGAGCTGGCTCTGCTGCTGGGGAAGGGGCAGATGAGTGTTGGGTGCAAGATGGCTCTGGCATGGTCGAGCTGGGTGACCAGTCCTGTTTCCTCTCTATGCTACCATTTCCTCCACTGTACAATACTAATAATAGCACTAATAACCAAAAAGCACTAATAACTGCTGTGGAGTCAATTCCAACTCATAGCAACCCCCATTGGGTTTCCAAGGCTTTAAGTCTTTATGGAAATAGATTGCCTCCTCTTCCTTCCATGAAGCAGCTTGTGGGTTTGAACCACTGACCTTCTGGTTAGCAGCCAAATGCCTTATCCACTGCACCACCAGAGCTCCTTAATAGGACTAATACCTTTAATATATTTTCTTCTAGGCCTTAACCTACATGTTGTTGTTATGTGCCATCAAGTCAGACCTGACTCATAGTGACCCCTCCTTGGGTTTCTGAGGCAGTATCACTACAGAAGTAGATTGCCCAACCTTCCTTCTGAGGAGTGGCTGGTGGGTTTGAACTGCCAGGCTTCTGGTTAGCAGTCAGGTGCCTTAGGCACTACACTACCAGAGCTCCTTTAACCTACATACATATGCATTTTTAACATGATTTTGATTGCAATGTATTACCATTTGTTTTACTATTTTTTTTTTCACACATCATGTATAAATGCTGCTACCCAGCTTTCTTAATCAGGTGTTTTGTTTTTTTTCTGGGGTGGGAGATGGGTCAGTTCTACTCTATCCTATAGGGTTACTATGAGCCCTAGTTAGTTTTAGTGGCTATGAAATTTTCAGCCATGCAGATGCTTCAGCCGAGGTGGCATGCCATTGCTCACCACGTACATGTGGTCATTAGTTATTAATACTTTTATTTTTTTAAATAAGAGTACTTTTATTTATTTATTTTTATTGTCATTTGGGTGAAAGTTTACAGAGCAAATTCATTTTCCATACAACACTTCATACACATTTTGTTTCATGGCTTTGATCACAATCCCCACAATGTAACAGCTCTCTTCCCACTTCCTCCCTGTGGTTAGCATCTTTTCCCTGTGTCTTTTCCTATGCATTCCTGCCCTCTGAGCCATCTTCCTGTGCAAACACTGCCCTTCGGATCTCCCATGATGGATCGCTCTAAGGAGCGTACCTACCTGGTGTAAATGTTCCCCTTTGTTTGGCTGGAAGCCACAGGTGTGAGTTCAATTCCCGGCCTGGAGCCATCCCAGAAAGTTTTATAACCTTAGGGTATAACCTATATTTAGACAACTGCTGAAATGTTCGGTTTCACTTTGCTGATACCAGTCCTGGAGAAGAGTAGGAGTGATATCAAATTGTTCTGGTCTCTTAAATATTCCGTAAAAGACAAAGCATGGGATTGGGGCATAAGATTTTGAAATTTCTTTTAAACTTTTTATTTTTGGAAATTTCAAACATATACTAAAGTAGAAAAAAAAATAGTTCAATGAATCCCCATATACCTCGTACCCAGTGTCAACAGTTATCAACTCACAACTAATTTCATTCCTAATTCATACCTCCATTCAGTGCCCTTCTGCCTCCCCCCTTCTCCATTACTTTGAAGCAAGATTTTGAAATTTTAAATATAAATTTGCCAGAGAAGAAGGCAGTGAGACATGGTGGAAAAACCTTGGACTTTGGAGTTGGACCCAAATTCAAAGCCTGACTCTGTCACGTCCTGGTTCTACCTTAGGAAAATGATGTCACCTTTCTCAACCTCATTTGTCTCATTTTCAGTGTGGTGATGTTAATGCCTGCCTCTTAGAGTTGGTAGAAACTTAGGTTGAATACATTGGAATGCCTACAGAGTGCCAATATCAGGCACTCATAATAACAAAGAAGACAAAGATGCATCTCTGCCCTCAAGGAACTAATACCTGGAAGTAGGATATTCTAATTATTCTAGAATATTCTTTTGCAAACTTTGATTGATGATAATGGCTGCCTACAGCAGTTTGACAAGGATTCAGGGACTTTTGTCAGAGCTCATTGGGGAAAAGGACTGTCAATGATTAATGATGGCGGCCATGGAATTGGGGCTGAGGAGTGAGAAGCAGCCCTGACTGTAGTATACACAACACCTGATGTGCAGTAAGAACTAACTGTTAACTATAATTCTCACCACTGATAAGGTCTTGGACAATTAAGTCCTAGAATGTCATCATTTCTAAAAAGTGGACAAGGCACACATTGCATTGTCGTCATGACATGGGTTGTTTCTTCTTCTCACCCTCAGGTATGCATTCAAGACCTCATCTCTCCCATCAATGTCTCCCTAAATTTCTCTCTTTGGGAGGAAGAAGGGATGCCGGGGGACCACAGGATGGTAAGAAGAGATTGGCTGGCATTGTTGATAGATAACAGGGGACAGTAGGAATTCAGTTTAGTAAGAAGTGACTGTATCACAAAGAAGTCTTGTATCTTAAGCAGCAGAAACCAAATGCAGCGTACTTAAGCAGGACAGGAAGTGGGGGTTTGTATCTATGGCTCAAAGGGAAATCCCATTATCAGAGTGGGTGGTGCTCTGGGGGATTTCAGGGGAGGAAATAATGGGTGGGCTCTACAGTGAATTAGCTTCCGACCTCTTCAGGCTTTGAACTCTGCTCAAGATGCAAATTCCAGAGAGAGAATTCCAGAAGACCTAGCTCTAGGCCTGGGTCCATCCTAATTTGTGGAAGGGCAGGGCACCTTGATTAGCCTTCTTACCAAAGTGTATACATTTAAGGGCAGGTGATTCCCTCAAAGTCAAAGTGGGGGTGCTATTAGCATATGAAAGAAGGAGGGAAAATGTTGAGTGTTGTTATTTGCTGTTAAGTCAGCCCACACTCATAGCGACCCCTCCTTGGGTTTCCGAGGCAGTATCACTACGGAAGTAGGATTGCCCAACCTTCCTTCCGAGGAGTGGCTGGTGGGTTTGAAACGCCAGCCTTCTGGTTAGCAGTCAAGTGCTTTAGCCACTATGCTACCAGAGCTCCTAATACCCACCTTAGTTGACCATATCACACACTCCCCACTGAGTGCCAAGAGCCTGATTTCCTTTTCAAAAATCCTTGACATTCAGCTAATGGTCTGTCCTCTGTCGGATATGGAGCAGGATCTAGTGGAAACCTGGGTTTGTTTCCTGCCATGAGCTTGAGCAGGTTCCATCCCTCTCTGGGTCTACAGTCACATTTATAAGAGATGAGTCCCAATATTTTATATTATGAAACCTCTTCCAGGGCTGGCAACCTCTCACTCCCCAGTGCAGTCTTGCTTGTGGGGAACCCTTTTCCCCACGCTGTCATTGGCCCTTGCTGCTTTCCGGTTGCACATACTGAGTGTACTCTTCCTCATCCAGGTAACAGTGGAGTCTTAGCAAACAATAAAACCCCCAGCCCACTAGATACTCATCATGCACTCAGGGAAAGTTGATGGTACACTTTCCCTGCACTAAGCCCTATCCCGCGGACCAGCCCCACTGAGGAGCTCGCAGTAGAAGCCAAACAAGTGGACAGTTACAATCCCCTGAGATGAAGCTGTGGTAAAGTTTGATACAGGGTGGCACAGATCTGTCGCAGATCTGGGGGCTAAGGAAAGCCATTCCACAAGAAGTGCCCTTTAAGGTCCCTAGATGGATAAAGAGAAGTGGGCATTTAGGAAGCCCCCCCC